AATAATAATAATAATAATAATAATAATAATAATAATATCCCCCAGGGCTCACAACCCTGGGTATAAAACGCATTCAGCAAAAAATGCTGATCGACCCATAAAAAGTAATGTGCACTTTCCCTTGATAAATATGACTAAACCCCGGTAGCTTGCACGTTCGCGTGGTCCCAAGATGGCCAATTCGCGCCCCCAAATAATAATAATAATAATAATAATAATAATAATAATAATAATAATAATAATAATAATAATAAAATACTTAAAAACGTCTGACCGTCGCTTACATTTAATAGTTTCAAAACGTCAATCCGTCCGTCTGTGAACAACAATAGCACCGAAACTATTCATAGGAGTTTTTCCAAAATGGACATTCTCCGGTCGAACTGGCTCGACTGGAAGCTCTACTATTTTGAAAAATATTCAAATTTTCAAAATTTTCGCAATAATGGATCGAAATTTCTCTTTAAATTTTTTTTGTAAGATTAGAGTAGAATACACCTATAAAACTGGCGTAAGTCCGTTTTTCACCGTTAACTAAGAATTTTCGGAAATTGCGAAAGTTTGAATGTTTTGGGGGTCGTTTTCCTTCATCTATAGAGTTCAATCAAATATATTTTTTTGCGATTTTGAGCAAATATGAGTTTTTTTTCCTTCAAATGAAATTTGTTCTCCATAATTAGTGCTTTCATGAAGATCATGCGCATTTTTGTCATGTAAAAAAATACAAAAAATTAATTTTTTCAACATCTCTCTCACGTCGTTATAATTTACATTGCCGGAAAATTCTGTACAGTATTACATTTATGAGTAAATTAGCTTCATATGATATCTTACAAATTTTCTTGAAACCTCAAAAGGTTTCTGTGAAAATAAACTCAAGTTTCTGCGTTTTCAGAAAAGTTCAAACGCCATTTTCTCGAAAACTGCTCCAATTTTTTTCTTTGAATTTCTTGAACAGTTAGTGCTAAATGGATAGAATAACGTGACCAAATGATACTTCAGATATTTTTTCCTTTCAAGAATTACACAAATGTATTTTTTTTAAATACCTCTCTCGCCTTTAGTATTTACATTATCAGCAATTTGTATACATGATTGAATTTGTGTTTACAATTACTTCTAATATTTTCTTATGAAATTTCTGAAAACTCAAAAGTTTAGGGTAAAAATAAACTTCAAAATACGCAATTTCAGAAACACTCAAACGACATTTTCTCTAAAACACCTCCAAATGCTTCAACGGAAGTGCCCATATTGTACGAGGTTTTACTCTTCTACAATATTCATAACGTCATGTTTCAATTCTATCAGGTACCAAAAAATTGAAAAAAAATGTAGTTTGGGCGGTGATAGATGGCAGCTGGGCAGAGGTTGGTGCAAAAACGAAAATCTAACTTAGTGCAAAGAAATTAGAAAACGAAGTAATACAAGAAGGTAGCTAGCACCACTATAATTAAAATTTACATTGTCACCCGATGGCGAAATGTAAAGGGTATTGTACTATTTTAATATTATTATTATTATTATTATTATTTATTATTATTATTTTTGTTGTTGTTGTTTTACTCTCTCTCTAACGAAAAACTTGGCTCTGCTCATATCCCGAGGTAAACAAATAAAATGAGTATCCATTAGCGGCATGTCAGCTTTTAGCCATCGTATTGTATAATTGCACATGCCTTCTCAAAAACATCGTCCATTTGTTATGGATATCAACAGCGAATTGTATAGGAGTTCTCACGTCAATATTTTTCTTGAAGAAAAGACGGCAATGTTTCAGTGAATGTGTGCATTACTTCTGGAAGCGTGAACTACTTTTCTTATTAGTCCCGCAAGTGTAGTGCATTTTATGACGTGTTCTTGATGTACCTTGCCCGCTTACAACCGTCGCCGACAACAAACGCCGAAATCCGTCGCCGACTTGTGTGGTTTTCCCCATTCAGGAATCTCCCCCTAGCGGGCCACGTCACCAGCCGGGACAAGCTCAAAGCTCACGACTGTTCTCCCGAAATGTGAAGTTTTTGCACTTTGACTGACCTCGTTAGCCGCGCGCGAGCAACTTTAGTGCAAATACGGGCAGAGCGCAAGGGGGGGGGATAAGATTCGTTCTAGAAGAGGGAACCGCCAATGAGATTGAGACATTACAACCATAGTGCGTAAACCTAAAGAGGAATCTGCGAGAACATGACGGAGAGTTATAGACAGTTCAAATACCATTATCTTTCATTCTGTAAATTTGTGTAGTCGATACATGGCAATGTGAAGTATGAGTCTAAAACGAATTAGACATACACACTTGATTTGGGTGTATCCTTCAAGTAGTAATTGCTTGTAGGCCTGATAATGTAATGATCTGTGTTACGATCATGTACTGATAATGTAATCACACATTTAGCAACACAATTGTGCAACACAAAATTGTAATATTGAATCTCTTTTGTTTGATGCTGGCAGATATATTTTTTAATTAACTATGTTTAATTAGAAATGACGGTTCTATCAAAACTAAAAAATCTTATTCTTAAAACTTCAGGATAACTTTCTGCTCTAATTTTTGACAAGTGTAAATTGTATATTTCTATTTGAAATCAACGAGCACTATTTATTTATAATCGTTTACATCATATAAAAGGGTTAAGCCCTTTCCGTTGTTTTTAACAAGGCTCATAACAGTAACACTCGTTATATCATCACTGTTTTGCTGCAGTGTTGCACTTCTTTTTCTAAACTACGTACGTAGTATATGGGAAAGAAAAAAATCTGTTGCGGTATGAGGATCCCCCCCCCCCCCCAAAAAAAAAAAGATATCGCCACGGACCTTTTGCAGCATTTCAAAACTACACGTAGACGAGAAATTAAAAGTGTTGCCACCAAGTCCGTTCCCCGCTCCCCTCCTGGGATGAGTGGGTGTGTTACGGTCACGATGCGTCCACGCGATGCATCTTTTCGATCAATATGGTGCACGCGTCTAAAGGCCCATTCACAATGCATACGTAAACATAAGCATGGCGTTAACATAAAAGTTAGGACTTCGTTCATAAGCGGACTTATTCACAATGAGTTCGCATAAGCATAACATGTAAGACTTTAACTTAAACGCTTGCAAGCTTCAAGCTTCTGTGCTTATGCTTACGGAAAACATAAGAAATGAACCAATCACAGAAAGGTAATTCAAAATCGAGAATCGAAATTGGAGCGAAGTCGATAGAAGAACTAACGTCATATGGGATATAGTCGATATCTTGAAATCGATTCTCACAGCCAATAGAAACATATTTTGCTTACGTTTATGTTAGGCATTGTGAAAACTCCAGTCTATCGCTTATGTTAGTGTTTATGACTATGCGCTATGCTTATGTTTACATTTTCATTGTGAATGGGTCTTAATGCAGGCGATAGCGCACACGCATTACGGTGTGCGCGTGTTTTCGAGAAGAAGATCGCATGCAATAGCGCGTGGCTGTCCGTAGGAAAAGGGAATCCTGTGCGTTTTCTCCACAAAGCAAATAGTGTGCTTCTTTCAAAATAATTTCTAGCACTGAAAGCACGAAGCCTTTTTTTTCGCAGCGTACCTGCGTCGGAGTATAGGAATGCGTTGAAGACTTGTAAACAGTAACGGTGCAGTTTTATACTGTTCCCAGAGCTGAGAATATCTTGTGCTAGAGACTGAAGTTAGGTATTTTGAAAATAATCGTATTCAATTATGCCACAGCTTTGGCACAAAATTCAATATAGATTAGGGTTGTCCAAGTGGCGGCCCGAGGTGCCATTTATTGTGGCCCGCGAAAGGTTATTATTAGTCAAAGGCGAATGTCCCTTGCTTGCATGTCGGGTGAGAACATTGTGTGTCTAGCACACACTCCCCGTCGTGGTCAACAACCACTTAACGTAAAAAGAGGTTAAGTTCAGATTTAAAGATTTTTTTCTTGTAAATTATTAAATTTAAAATCATTCCAATGTGTTTCACTGCGTTTGCCATGGAACGGCCTCACATCACGCATGGTTTCGTGTCCCCGGATCAGAGCAGCTGAGCAAACTGTATACGTGTGGATCGCCAGAGTAATAAACATATGGACCGCAACTATATTAAAAGTTTTAGTTGTGGCTCTTTAGGCTTTGAGAGTTGGACACCCTTCACATAGATATAATAAATCAAATTCTTCCCTCATTCCAAGATACCTTAAGATTTTCTTTCTTACAAATGCATTTCTACTATTGTCCTTTCGTCTGATAATGAATATAGACAGTTATGTCATCAGATCCATTTATCGGTTAAAGGCCCATTCATAGTGCAAACGTAAACATAAGCATTGCGCATGTAGGTAAACAATAACTTAAGTGATATACTGAAGCATTCACAATGTCCAACATAAACGTAAGTAAAATAAGAGTTTCTATTGACTATGAGACATTCTAGTTTACAATTGGTTAGATGTGAGAATCGAATGTGAGAATCTTTCCATACTATACTTCTCCGTGTACGAGAAAGTAAAACTGAGTTGCAGCTGAAGAAAAGAATGCTCTTTGTCACCAGACGAATACTCACGAGACTACCAAGCGACGCGACGCACACACTGAACACGGACGCAGGACGCGCGGCACAAATATTTTCGTGGCGCCAGCTTCCGCTAAACACCGAAAATATTTGCGTCGAACAGTGCGCGATGCTGACATTTACTAGTGTGGGAGTGTGCTTTTAGTGAGCGTCGCGGCGCATATAGAGATACGATTTCAATATTTTCAAAACGTCGATGTTTTAAACATTTTTAAAACATGTTTTTCCAACATCGATGGTTTGTCTTCGATGATTTTACGTTTTTACATTTAGTTTGTGAAAGCAATTTTGTTAAAATTAAAATATTAAATAAATGTGGCCGTTCATTTTGCTTTGTGCGAATATTTTTGTTGGAGGTTATTGAACAGTTTTAAAACATTGATGTTTATAAATATCGATGGTTTGGGGCGATCGATGTCATGTTGTCGATGTCGCGCGTGCGCAGTGAGGGCGGCGGGCCGAGGGGCCGCCGGCCATGGAATACTTCGTGCTCTTCTTCCCCGTCCTCGTGGAGATGGACGCCCTGGCGGCGGCGACGCCCACGACGGCGGAGCCGGGAGCGCCTGTGGTGGCGGCGGCGGCGGCGGCGGCGGAGGGCGATAGCGCTGCGGGCGATGCGCCCTCCGCCCCGCCCGTCCACGGCCCCCGACCCGACCGCCCGAGCAGCCGCCCCCCGCGAACGGCCTGGTACAGTACACGCGCGAGTTGCACCCTGCACGGCCCTTGGTGCACTCACAGTGCGCTTGCGTTTATTTCTGCATTGGGACTCCTGTGCACGACCGCCCCTGCAAATTCCCTATTTTTGTTTGGAAATTAATTTGTTTTGTTGTGAATGTACGGTAATCTTCACTGTGGTGTTTAGATTTAAGAGAGTAGTTCCGTCACTTGTTTATGTAGGGAATTGGATGAACTAATTTCGCTTGGATTAGATGGTACTGCCTCAATCTTGATACATAGCGCTTGCGTTAAATGTATTCATCTAGGTATTCACTTGTGTGCGTTCAACTGCAGTTTTAGGACGATCCTTTCCGCCTTCAGTGTGGAAATTCCGTTCTTTGGGCATTGACGAAATCCGTTTGCGGCCAAGTATCAAGACAAAGGCAGTACAGGATTGTATGTTGTTTTTTTTTTCATTGTTATTTTTCATGGAAATTAGATCCGTTTCTAGAAATTTCCAGGCTTGTGAAAATATTTTTCCAGTTGCTGATTTTTACTCCTGTGGTTTTTCAAAATTTTAGTTGACACGGGTAAATACTTACAGCTTAATATGTAGATGTTATTGTCATGTACATGTGGTTCTCAATTTGTGGGATTCGTGATACTTCTAAATGCAGCTACGAGCTAACCGCATTCGAGAAGTACCGAGCGGATTCTCGCCGAATGCCAAGGAGAGATGAGTTACTTGCTACTTGCCGAGCGCCAAACTCTCGGTGCTCCCCTACCCACAGCGTGGTTTTGGATAAATCTAAGAAAACATCTCGGCTAGTCGGGATTGGGGGAGGCAGTCGTTTGATACTCCCCGAATGCCGAATGTGTGGAGCCGCCTTAATAAAAAGTGTCGATATTTTGCCTTGAGAAAAATTAAAATATTCCAACAACGTCATCCTAAATTGGAATAAACGTGTTTGTCTAAAACGCGAAGATAGTTTATCGCTCTGATTCCTGATAAAGTGAATTGATGGAGCAGTAACGTAAACATGCACGATGACCGCAAACTGCCAATTTCTTTGCGCCGCTACTTCACTACCTTCCTGATCGCAGCCTCGAGAACCAGTTGGCTGCGAACAAGTATTTTTCTGAGTGTAGCTGTGCGGGCGGTTGTTGGTGCGGGTGCGTGAGGAGGTGGCATGTGCGTGTGTGTGTCCGCAGGATGACGACGGGGAGCCTCAGCTGCAGCCGTCGTGGCGGACGCCGCAGCCGCGCCCGGCGCCCACGCCCCCATCGCCCTCGGCGCCCACGCCCACGCCCCCGTCGCCCACGACGCCCATGAGCGGCGTGGAGTTCTCGGGGCAGGTGCTGCGCGTGAACGCCGACGTGGCCGTCGTCGCCCTGACCGCCCCGCGCGGCGCCACGCGCCTCTGCGCGCTCCTGCGAGGACAGGTGGGCGGCGCCACCGGCAGGCAACTCCCAACTGGCGAATTGTTTGGTTACGGGCGCGTCAGCTGCTGTGGCCATTAGCTCAGTTAGGGGAGTCAACAATATATATTGGATTCCTACCCCCCCTCCCCCATTAATGCTGAATCCGATGCCGACCTACAAGACGCCTTGAGGATTTCCCTTCAAGGTTCTCCGACAGCGTGGCATCTATGAGGTCCCAACTGGTTTCCCGACATGTAAGATAATGCAGTACGTGTGTGTGTGTGTGTGTGTGTGTGTGTGTGTGAGAGAGAGAGAGAGAGAGAGAGAGAGAGTGAGAGTGAGTGTGTGTATGAGAGAGAGGATAGGACGAAGAAGAGGAGGAAAAGATCCGTGACCCCGTTTTTGTGATACTGTCCCTGAATTCGCGTGGTGTTGATCGGAGAAACCACGGAAAAATACCGGTCAGAGCAGCCGCAGGCTACAATTGTCTTCCAGGCAGCGGTTGAATTAGACCTAGCTACTTAAAATACCCAGTGTCGAAAATGCGCCACTGACAGAATTCGAATCTTATGGCTGCACGTGAGGGTCGCTGCGAGGCAATGGTAATGCTAGATTTGAACTGGCTCCAGCCTGTCATCAGTTAGCTAAAATACTACTACTACTACTACTAAATAATAATAATAATAATAATAATAATAATAATAATAAATAATAATAATAAATAATAATAATAAATAATAATAATAAATAATAATAATAAATAATAATAATAATAATAATAATAATAATAATAATAATAATAATAATAATAATAATAGCCCATTACATGGCCCCGAGATCGCTAAGGCAGTAGTGCCGTAGTGGTTTCGGACCAGAAGATCGCGGGTTCGAGTGCCACGTCGGGCATGGGAGTATTTGTGTATGTATGAGTGTGTCGTCCTTTGACCCCTCATTATCATCATCATTTCATCTTCCATACCCCCTGGGCTAACAACTCTGGGGAATAAAAATCAGACTCAGCTAAAAGCTGATCCCCAATTAAAGTTACATGCACCCGTCACCGCAATAATGATACTGACCCACGGTAAATGCAGGATGCATGCATGCGTGGTCCTAGTCGGCCGATTCGCGAGCAAAATAATAATAATAATAATAATAATAATAATAATGTGTTTAGAATAAATGTGACAAACTTCTGGGCCTGTTTCGGGTCACAGCTGATAACGTTTTGCCAATTAACATGTGATCGACGATTTCACGTTACGAAGTTACATATGTGACTGCCTCTGATTGATTGGTAGCTTAGCATCACTGATGTCCGGCAGATTCACGAAATCTGACAGTCCCAGAATATGACCTGTCAACCACAGACCATGGTGATACTATTCCAGAGAGAAGAAGTGCAATTGAAAGCGCAATGAAACGCAATTTGCTATGAAGGCAGTCCTTTATGCCGAGTTCGCGTATGCATACGTAGAGCACGATGGCCATGCATTTCGTGAGAAAAAAATGGGTAAAAATCCATAAAAATATATCAGGTACGAAAAGTAATCGAGCTAATAAATATCACAAGTGTTTGGAATGTTAGTATAATTTCCAGTATGATTGGTTTAAATTTTCCATATTGCAAAACAAAAATTACTTTTTTGATTGGCAAATTGGTTTTTAAAATAAAGTTCATCTCATGTAGAAGCTCAGCTCTAGTTGCCGCTGCTGGGGCTGCTCTGCGTCTGCCATCTGGCAGCGCGCTGTAACTGACGCGCTGTAACTGACGCGACGAGTAAAAGGTTAAAAACGAATTTTCGGATACTGTAGCGTAAAGCAACCTCGTGATAGAGAGCGCGTGGGGTCTGAACGGATTTTTGCACTTTTTGTTCTAAGTAGAAGTATACTGCGATTTTTTCCAACTCGCGCTGGCAGCTATCAGCTATTGACAGTTTCAGCCAATTGGGAGCTAGAACGTTATCATATGACGTCACTATGGGGACGTTCAAGCTTCCGATTGGATGAAACCATCAACAACTGAAACCTGCTAGTTGGGCACAGTTGGAAAAATCGCAATATAGTTCCGAATCGTGGCGGCAATGAACGCTGAATTCCATAATGCCCATCCTCTTAATTCGCTTTTGTTTGACTAGTGCTGCCCATCAAACACTATGTTTGTGTATAACTAAATTACATATTTATAATTATTAAATAAATGTAACTACTATCGTATATAATGTAATTATAAATACATATTAATGCCAAGTTGATGTATCATGGGAATATAAAATTAGCTGCACACTCCACAGAGTGATCGATTGTCATTCATTACAAATCGGTCACTAAGTCCAGCAGAATACCGGGCTTCACTGTCCGAGTAGGCGTTGGCGTGTGCGCAGAGACACACAAGAAGGCGCTTCACGCTGTGCCGAAACACTATACCTGCGCGCTCTCTTCTTTTACTCGTATTACAGTGCTCTCTAAGCTATAGCGTCTAAACGGTCCCCACTATATACTCTATTTCAGTCATGTGAACATTTTTGTTTTGGACACTCATCGATGCCGAACCAAATTGGGAAGGGTGGTAGGAGATTTACACGTAGAAATGAGTTTCATTAATTTCACAAATGTTGGCTAATTAATGTTTTTATGCTTAAACAATTTTACACCTTTTTTGTCATTCCGCTAACTGGAGAATGGTCGCATGATATCAATGCATTTATATAGCCAGAATGCGAGAAGCCAGAATGCATAATTGTGCGATTAAAGTGCAGCGTATAGCGAGTTTAATTCAAAGCGTGATGAAAGTAAACCGGGGATTCTTTAAAATTCTGTATTTAATGTTTGTCAGTTGACACTACTTACACTTAATTTATACGCCCAAGTATTATCAACTACTAATTCTTTACTTACAATATCATTCATAGTGGCTATATTGGAACAATTGAAATTATAAGTGAAACCTATGTTTGACTTCAACTACACCCGCTGAGCTGGCATTTTGAGACTTCAACAGCTGGCGCTCCAGTCCACGTGGCTGGCGGAAGAGTACATTTTGCACCACGATACCGTTTTCGGTGACCTTCCAACAAAATCATCTACTGCCGGCGTGGATAGTCGAGATCGGTAAGGGTCGCTGGGTCGAATCCCGCCCAAGGCATTGATATTTGTGTGTGTTCATGTTGCCCTTACGTGTTCCCCTCACTCTTACCCCGGGGCAAATGTTACACTGGACAATGTTGAAAACACGGTGATCGCTATATGACCAAGCAGTTCAAAAGCGACCAATATTTTTTTAATCGCCTGCTGGTATGAACTTGCGTGATACTTGCGCGGCCTCGACGATCTGTAGGAAGCTACTAGGAAAGCTCTGTGGCACTATCATGTGTCTCAAACGTCAAGCACAAAGAAGTTTGATACAAAGTATAGCTCTTTTGCCGTCCCAGGCTACGTAAACCTGACACCGTAACAACGAGGGTCTGTTCCCGCGGGGGCTGCAAGTGACCTCCGAACGCCGCGGGGGGGGGGGGACGATAAAGTTCGTCGGAGGAGGAATTGCAGCAGTGGGGACGTGGCGGACTCCGACTCAAGTCACTCACGATACTAATGAAAAATCGACGCGCCAGGAAACTTGACGTATTCAATCACTCGCAAGTAAATAAGGGCATATGCGCGAAGCTCGCTGTTTACCGGCTTACGTGGCTCAGCATGAAGTGATGTCTCTGCAGTGCCTTTGACCGGGATGACCTTGATAGGGTTCAAATCCCGAAGTCGAATAATTTCGATTCTTAACTTAGATGATTGGATCGTTTTCAGTCGCTGACTGGCGGAAGATTCTAGCGGCCGGCTCCTCTGATCGGTAGTTTTTCGTAATTTCTTCGATTAATATCTGGCGAATGCCCGAGCCGTACCCTATCAATCGGGCCACGGATCGCGCGCGATCTTTCCGTTCTCTTCCTACTCCAGTCCTCTCTCCTTACACACACATACTCACATGCATTGCACTACCACACATGTCGGGAGCTTAGAGCTTGTTCCGGCCTGGGGCAGCGCCCTGGTGGTGGGAGATACCTGGTAGAGAAAACCCCCTCCTCCTGACGTGTCGGCTAGCGCCGGATCTCGCCATTTTGCGGGGGAAGATCACAGTCACAATAAAAAAACACGCACTACATTTACGGGGCAATGACCTGAGCAATTGACGCGCCCGGAAACAACCAACCAACGAATGACTCATTCGCTGAGGAGTGTAAGAGTGCATGTGTGTGTGTGTTAGGTGCGCGTGAACGGCGGCGCGCGGGCGTGGGAGGCGCCGCTGCCGACGCTGCTGGCCGTGGGGCTGCCGGTGTGCGTGCGGCCGCGGCCCGCCGCCCAGGGCGAGGCGGCGGCGTGTCGCTGGGTGAGCGACGAGGTGCTGCTGGAGCAGTGCGTGCGCGCGCCTACGCGCGTGCGCTGCGCCGAGATCACGCGGCTGGCCGGCAAGGACGGCGAGGTGCAGGTGGTGGTGGCCGGCCGCTGCGCCGCCGCCGCCTTCAGCCGCAAGAACGTCGTGCTCGACGGCGCCAAGGTACTTGCCCCTCGCCTTCTTTCGGTTGCATCGGCGTTCTTCGCGACGCGCACGAGGCGGCCCCTTCCGAGAGGGGCTGCTGTCGGTTTCACTAATGGTGCAGCGGTACTACTAATAAGCGGAGAAAACAAGAGGCCTGGTGCAATAGATGCATGGGAACACCTTATTTCAAACAAAAGCTCTGCCCCTCCCCCACCATTCTTTTGATTTCTTGATGCCACGCAAATAACTTAGAGAGGTTAATTTGGATTAAAGTAAATAAATTTTACGTGTTTTCAATTTTAAAAAATCGTAGCCTCAATTAAGTCTGGGCCGGGGCAAGTTGCCCCAGATGCCTCCCCCCTTCTGGGCTCTCCTGGTACAAAGTAAACAGAATAGCTATATGAGTAAGTTGCAACACTATGGCGTAGTATATGTTATGTATATAGGTTATGTATAAAGATTGGATTCCCGTGTTACTGCACATTTTCTTTCAAATTGGATGAAACCTTGACAGAAATTTGATGATTTTTTTTTACTGTTTGATATCGCACGTTTTAGGTAATGCTGCTTGAAAATTGCACATTTAAAGATTACTGAACGAATTTGCAAGATTCAGTTTTATTGCATTAAATATATTTGTTTATATTATCATCTTGTTTTAATTTGTCATTTTTTAGGTTTAATATCGATCGCTATTATATAATCATGTAATTTTGGGAGAAATTATATGAGCAATTGTTCGGATATTTGACAAAAAATAAAAATGCTCTCCGTGATTGCATAATATCTTAAAGAGGATCCTCTAAAAGCTGCACACTATTAATGGGATGAGCCGGGCATCATCTCTTTTCATTTATAATTTTCATTCGTATGTAACATACGGTCCTACGTGGCATCCGTGATTGCTAATAGAATGCCACGCTAGAAAGGACGTCCGTTGCGCGGCGGTGATGGTGTCCGTGAGGCCTGCCAACCAACGGACGTCAGCGAAACACTCGTGTGTGGTTAACCTTATGCGTGTGCTTGTGCGCAGCTGTCCAGCGGATGCCTGTTGTCGAAGAGCGGCCTGGAGGTTGGGTGGGCGGCGGCTGTGCGCCTGGAGCCCGTGCTGGCGGCCCCGGGCGGGGGCAAGGGCGAGCGGCCGCAGCTGCGCGCCGCCGAGCTGATGACGACGACTTGCGCGCACACGCGGCGCTGTCTGGAGCTGCGGCTGGTGGACGGCGACGCGCGAGCCGACGCCCTGGCGGCCGAGGGCGCCCAGCCCCTCGCGCGGCGCGCGCGCCTGCTGCGCGTCGACGACGACGTTGTCACGGCCGCGCTGCTGCCGGAGCTGTTCGACGTCGGAAGCGACGACGACCGGCCGCTGCTCGTGCAGGTACTGCCGCCGCGCCCTGCCACGGACACCACAAACGTCTACGCTCTTCATTAGTGATTCGGGGGGCGCGTCAACCCCTATACAGTCACTTGGGGGGGGGGGGACTTTGGACCGTGCGCCAGTGAAATAAATGTTTGTTAAATAAAATGTTTTTGTTTGTATTTTTAGATGCTTTAACAGTTAGTCCATTTAAGTAATCGACAGAATCAACTAATGGTTAAAGAAACTGAAAATAAAAAAAAAAAAAAAAAAAAAAAAAAAAAAAAAAAAAAAAAAAAAAAAAAAAAAAAAAGAAGAAGAAAAAACAGCATTTAATTTAACAAAAGTGGTAGATGATGCAAACTAACCCTGCATGATCTAAAGTCACCTCAAGTGACTAGTCATTTGTTCCGTAAGGGTAGTGCAGGTTTTGGTAATTGGAGGTGGTCCCCGTCAGATAGCAAGATCCGGGGCTGACTATCCCGTCGGCTTGATTTTCTCCAAACAGGTATCTCCAGCCAATGGGACACCGTCCCAGTTGGGACAAGCTCTAAGCTCCCGACTGATCTCCCGGTGTGCGTGGTTTTGTAGTGCTTGCAAGTGTGAATGTAAGAAAGGGATGAGAATAGGGCATGGAAGGGGAAGAAAATATCACGCCCATCCGTGGCCCGTTTGTTAGGGTACTGCTCCTGCATTCGCCTGGTGTTGATCGGAGAAACCGCGGAAAACTACACGCCGGATTCAAGCAGCCAGCCTCAGAATCCTCCCCCAGACATCACGTGAATTCGACATATCAAGCTAGTATCGAAAATCCTGCCACCGTCAAGGCTATGCCCTTCAAATGGGGGTGCGAACAGTAAGGCGGCTCCACACATTCGGCATTCGCCGGGTTGCGAGCTTCTGCTCGCCTAATCCCAAGCTGGTTATGTGCTCAGCGAATGTTTGCTTCCTTCGATCCAAAAGACTGTCACGCGTGACATGGGAGCGAACCCCGTATGTCTGTCGCTTGGCAAATAACAAGCAACCTACATCTACCCTTCGCAGAATTCGGCGAGAGGTCATTCGCTACTCGCCGAAAACCGAATGGGTGGAGATGCAAAGACGTGGGTAAGCCGCTTCGCAGCCTACCGGCTTCAGCTATTGAGATTCATGCACAGTTTTGCGTCACAATATAAGCGGGAATTTTAAGTGCAGCCCGATAACAAAATTTTCAATGTCTTGCAAGTCACTGAAACAAATGTATGAAGCTTGTCTTTTAAATATCAGAGTTTTTAGTTTAACCACACTTTGATCGTGTTACTTTGGTTGGTCACCTTTGAAAGTTGCCTCTTTCAAATGTTTCATGTCATGGCGGCCAGCATCCGACTTTTCAAACGAAGTGCCCATGTTGTTGTCACGTATCTGGTGATGCGTTTGCGACGTATCTGGTGATGCACAGAACGAGCAAAATTCAGCGCGCCGGAGTACTTCACCCATATCATTGCATAATGGGTATGACGTTAACAACAAACGTCTTCAAAACATCAATGTTGAAAAGGGAGTTTTTGCGCGGCAAAACGCATGATGTGAAGAGGTGCGTGGGCTCCTCCGGTGCACCAAGTTTTGCTTTTTCTACGCAGCCCTTGTTTCCGTCACGAACCACGTGACCACAACAGGGGCACTTTGTTTGAAAAGCCAGACATGTTGCATGGAGAGCGAGGAGCGTTGAAACACATTTTGAAAGTGGCATAAAGTATCATTTTTCAATAGTGACCAATTGAAAATACACTCTTGGCGAATCAGGCCAATCCTAACAAAATCCAAGTTTTCGTTTCTTACTTTGATCTACATTACATATATTACGTGATTTGCAAAATTGCTATTAGGTATTGTAAAAAGTTTCTGAAAATTTATTTCGCAAAAAATATTTAGTGAATATTTAAAAATACTCATTTTTGTGCTTGCTGAAAGCGCGGTCTTGATTAACCTCCGCCTGCATTGCATGAGTGTTACGACAAGAACGCGTGTGCGTTGAGGAGCTAGCTATACATGCGGAGTATCAGTCACATCGTGTTTTTTTATTCAAACCAATTTACGAGAAATATTGTTTGTTGAAGACCTAAATCGCTATAATACCAAATGTCACAGTGATTGCTTGCCAGACATGGAGTTTCTACTTTTTTACGATCAGTATTATTGCTCTCGAACATTAAAATACCGAAATCAGGTTTACGCGGTTTGGTCAGTAGCAGCAAAAAAAAAAAGATTAATTGCCATTGTTTTGGAAAATATATTTCCTTGGTCAGGGCTATACAAGATGAGAAATATATATATATATATATATATATATATATATATATAAAGGCCACAAAAAACACAAAGCCAGACAAAAAAAACACTTGCCAGATACTAATAAACTGTCTGGATACTGTTCATGTGAAAACAATTTATAAGGACTTAATACAACATGGTTGCCATATCTTGCAATTGCCAGAAGAGTAAACACAGAAACAAATGAACTGCTACCTGTTCTTCACGGTGGAACACCTCACGGAATGTGAAGAACATCAGTACATATTCACCACCCCAACACTCACCGTGATTACTAAATGGTGGAGTGTTGGGCGGTGAGACACTGTCTTAATATGAAATTTTGTTCTCTCTTCTGTGAAACTTTCTTCTCTTATGAAAGGGAATAATGGGAGGGAAGTATGAAGAAACAAACCGAGTCAAGTTAACTATTAGTTAATTAGTAAAAAAGTCAATCTGAATCATTAAAATTGTGTAAAAATAAAATGTTGTTTGTACCACGGGCGTAAAGTGGTTCTAATGACCAAAATGCCGGAGGCCTTGTTGTCGCCATTCGATCATTAGAACCGTTAGAACGACCTTGGTACATAAATAAATATTATTTCTTCGCCTGTTATTATAATGGTTTGTTGTTACTTAATATATTATTTACTATTATATTCATACAGCAAATTATATTATTAATATTATTTGGCGTGTGTGAATTGATGGGTTGGAAGTCAGGGAAATCAAATCTTTCCGACTGATCGTGGGCTATCTTGCATTTGACGGCCGAGAGCGGACGCGGCCGGCGACGCGCGCGTAGCGACAGCGGGCGAGCGGCGTAACGCGCCGGGCCCGGGGAAGCCCGGAGGCGGTTGCGCAAGCGCAAAACGCGCTGCGGGGCGTGCGCGGCGTGCGCGGCGGCGGGGCCGGAGGCGGGCGGCCTCGCCCGCGTCGCGCTCGATGCACCGCGCGAACGACCGCCGCGCATCTCCTGCACTTCGCTCACCGCTGCGCCGCGCGCTCCGTGCTTTGCAGCGCACTGCTGCCACACTTCTCTGCTATGTAGCCCTCCCTATCCTATCGGACGGCAATGGCTGATCTGTAACATAGACCCCCCAAAAACACACACACACACACAGTATGGTCGTTCGGCGCGCTTTTGGCATTGTTTACCGCAATTTTCATGCAAGTATTGGCGTTATGCCTATTGCAGCATCGTATTTCTCTGGCGCTTGTACGTGGCCACGGGATTCGGCTCGTCCGAAGTTAAATTTCTAATAATGTCATTATATAACGCGTTTAATTTTGAAAAGAAATTTGCAGCGAAGTTTTTTAAGTACTCTTCGAGGAGCGGTAGATTTAATGTTAAATGCAGTTCTGAAATTCTAATGGAACGTGTAGGCCCTGTATGCTACGCAGGCACCGCATTATGAACTATTTCCAACTTATTCAGGTGCGCATGCGCCGCTATTCCCCAACTTGGGCAGGTGCAGTCCATAAAGGGCCTAATCATGGGTTTATAAAGCAGCAGACTGTTCGCTGTGAAGAGTTTGCTTCGCTTATGTAATAAGCATCGCAACATGCCCAGGCGTTGCCACGCTTTACTCGAAACGCACCGCACGGCATCACATTCAAAGCTATACTAGGATTTATATAACCGTGCACTTGACGTAAACCAGCTGTTCACGGTTTCATCCAATTGGAAGCGTGAACGTCCCAGTATCGACATATAAGCTCCCGATTGGAAGCAAAAGGAACAGCTGATTTACGTTAGGTGCACAACTAGATAAATCGTACTGTAGTACATGTTTTACGTTCCAGGAATTCGCTCCCTCTAATGGATAATTATTTTTCATTATATTTATATAGACAATGTCAATTAAAGCTAATTATACTGTTATTTAATCCAACTTCACCATTTTGTTGTAACTCAGCAGACAAGTTTTATACATTGCAAAGATTTTAAATATTTAAATGTACCGTCACGTCACTGCTTACTGCAAGTGTAGGGTAACACATTCTTTAAAAAAATACTATACTATTTTCTGGTGAAGAGTGGTCTGGATACTTAGAACACTTTCACACACGTGGAAAAAGCTCGAAAATTTAAAAATCTCCAGAAAAGCAATTGCCAATAATATGATGAAATCGTAGTTAAGTTAATCTCAACTGTTAGGTTGGAGTCTCGACAGTGGCGGATTTTTGACACTACCAGAGCGAGATAGCTAGGTCTGATTCAGCCGCTGTGCACTACACTACCACATATGACGGGAGACCAGTCGTAGTAGGGATGCAACATCGATGTCTATGTTTTTATAAAATCAAGGGGAAGTTGGTCATCGTTCCTATGGTGGGTGAAAGGAGTTTTTCGGGAAGCGTGGCCGGATATGACGTAGAAGGTTTCGATGCGGTTTTTCTTGCGTTCGACCGTGGGCTATGGTTCGGGATTTGCTTTCCTAGATATGGCATCCAACATGAGCAGTCGGTTGCACGAACCGTGTTTTGTCAGTCGTGTTAGCCGAACTCAACAGGAGCCTGCATGCGCGAGACACATTGCGTCTTACGTCGGGGGCGCGAAGCTTGGTGACTGGCGGGATCGCGCCGCGAATTCATCGAATTCCTCGGAACTGATGGCCTTACTTCCAGTGATGATATTCCCTCCCAGAAACGAGTGAGCATTCGTATTCCACGCTTAATACTTCCTGCTGTGATTTTGTCTCATAGCTGACTCTCACGGGAATAGTAACACTTTAAGTAATATATATTCCAAAAGCGCGTTAATATATTTTAAAACGGCAAAA